GCCTGCCGCCGGGGGTGTCGCGGGCGGGAGGCCTCGCCCGCCCCGTCCCCGGCCCGCAGGGCTGAGGGGGGCGGGGGGGACGGACGGGACGGGACGAGACCGGGCCCCGCCTCGCTTCGGGAGGGGAACTTTGCCCCCTCACGTCGCGCGTGGGCGGGTGGGCCGCGCCTGCCCGTGGCGGGCCGGGGAGTGCCGCGGCCGTGCGCCCGTGTGTGTGACCCGTCTCCCGCCGGCCCTTGCCGGCGTCCGGCGGTGGTCGGAGGCAGCGTGTGTCGCCCCCTCCGGTCCCTCTGCCGGACCTCGGCCCCGTCCCACGCACGTTTGTGCCGGCGGTGTCGGAGAGAGCGCTTTCCTCTCTCCGCCTGTCAGCCGAGGGTGCCCGCCCTGCCCGGGGAAGGAGGGGATGTGTGTGGAGGGATTCCGCTTTCCCGGGAGAGAGCTGGCAGGTGACGAGTTCTCTGTCGTGTCCCGCCTGCGGTGCGAGGAGGTTCGTGCTTCCCCCGGCTTGGGCCGCGTCTCTCTGCCCCCCCCTCCCCCCCGATCTCCAGTGTTTGTTTTACGTGCGAGTGCAGGACGGATACTCGTTCTTCCTCCTCTGTCATCCCCAGGGCTTGAGCCATATTTCTTTCTCCTCAGGCATCCACTTTTTTCTGAGTGTGTTAAGGAGATTTACTGATTAGTTTCTCTTCTGTGTCGCTGCTGCTTTTCCCCAAAGATACCCGTCAGCGAGAAGGAAGGAGAAGACCCCATGCACTCTGAAAGCACGTTTCTGAATGCGGTGATTTTGCCGATTTCTAGCGTGCCTGGAAGGCTCGGCTTTCAGATGCAAGAGTGACTCATAGTTTTGAAGGCTGCTGTGCTTGTTCTTATCAGAGATCTGGGGCTGTTTATCCCGTGACAAAGCATGATATGTTTAGATCTTGCACTAGACAAGATCAGATGGGTAGCATGTGGATGTAGGATGTCACTTGTAATTCTTAGCTAATATTAAATGTATAGCTGCTGGTGGCTAAGACATTGCTGTGTACATGGTAACGCTTAGAGACATTGGCAGCTTGACATGAAGTTCTTTCTTCTAATCCTATTGGGAGAGCACAAGAAGGAGGTCAATGTCAGTTCCACTTGTCAACTTTCACTTTGCTAACCTGAAACTACTATGTTTCTAGCTGGATGTGGTCATAGATGTTCATGTCCAACAAGGTACTCATGCTGGGGTGCTGTGTGAATGGACCTGAGAAGTATGTGGTTACTGTGGTAGCTGGTAAAGACTCTGAAGTATGCAATAGATTAATATTCTGCATTACTACTCCTATATAAGAAACTTTGTTTGAAACTTTGTTTCATGAATTTTGAGTAAGTGCTGAATAGGAAACTTTTTCAAGTGTGTTAGTATGACTTATATTGTGCACTGCCGGATCCCTAAAACATCCCTTTATGCTAAGCTAAATTCTCTTATTTTGGTACTAAAATTAATGTGTTTTCTGTGCAACCTTTGGTCTTGTATAACTTTTTATTTAGCTAGGAACAGTGATCTCTACTTGCAGTACTCAGTACTGGCTTGAAAAGCTTCGCCTCAGTTTCTTTTTTTGTGTCGTTTGCTTCACTATATTCTACAGATTCTACAGGAAACTTTCCCTGAGTAAAGATTACAGGGCTGTAGTGAATATCATTGTCATGTTGCATAGGGCTCACCTTTCCATGTCTTCTGAATATTCTTGCTTTTGCTCTTATCCTATGATAACCCTTGGAAGTTGAGTGGAGGTCAAAGTTGTGTTAAATTAACGTGTCTTTAATGCACATTTCCAGATTTAGAAGGATGGGTGTAAAATGTCTGTCAGTTTACTTTCAGCTTTTTGCTTGTTAGAGTCGAAGCAGTGTCTCTCTTTATCTTATCTCGAAAGTAATCAAATACGAAATGAGAGTCACCTGATGACATTACATATTAAGGGGGGGAGGGGTTGTATCCCAGAACTTGTATTATTGGAGCAGCCGGTATAACTGGAAAAACTAAAACCATTTCTTCTGTGTGCAAACCTTATCTTGATATGTTGTCTTTCAAATTGTGTATGAAATAATCTTGAGTAAATACAAGGAAGAATTTCAAGTTGAGTTGCTTGCACCATGGTTTGTGACTGAGGTGCTGTTCTGGGTCTCTTGTTATTCTTGTTATTACATAGGTTTTTTTGGAGTGTGTGTATTTTCTTCATAGATCAGTTAGAAGGAATACTCCTGTTTTGCAATGGTTTGGCAGTTCTTTTAATGTTCTCTTCCCTAACTGTCAACACAATAAAAGCTATTTCATATTTTGCGAACTTCATATGATTTCCTCTTTTAGGGTGGAACTTTTAATATGAAAAAAGTAATAATCTGCACAAAGAAACACTTAGTGCTAATAGAAATAAGACTGTGCATTAAGTATCAATGGTGGAGTTATACATCCTGTCCTCAGAAGTCACTTATTGCATGTTCAGAACACTACAGTTGGACAGGCTATTGAGCCTGTTGACTTTAGTGTAATCAGCTACGTGAACATACACTGTAGACTACATAGTGAGACCAATTTTTATCTTTTTTCTATATCATAAATTAAAGTGGTGACTCAGCTTAAGTGATTTAGGATGCCATAACATTTTAAAAACAAAATAGTGTAATGACAAGAAAAGTTAAGTATATTTTTTCATGGTTTTTTTCAGAAGATCTTCATGTAACTGGCTGAAAAATGGTTCTGCAAGATGACAGCACCAACTCTAACACTGTTAAAATGGTAAATAAAATAAAAAAAAAAGACTTAAAAAGATCTCCGTGCTATTTGCTGAAAATTATAATGATATTAAGAAGTGCCTTTTAAATGAATATTCCTTCAAATGTCATATTTCAACTGGAATATTAAAGTTACACCATGTGGAAAGCATATTTATTTCCTAATAATGGAAGCAAAAGGCAAACATATGCTGAACTTTCTATTGTATTTAATAGAGTAGAAAATGGCATTTACTTTTAAACCATAATTTCTGTTTCAGCCTGTATGTCTTGAATTTATCATAACTCTGTGTACTTGATGAATTAAATGTTTAAGGATAAAACCATGTTCTTAGAGAGAAGTGTCTTGTACAGTTCTCATTTGAGGTGTCAGATGCTATATTAATATGCTAAACTTTTATCCTTATTCTGAAATGGGTTAATTATTGGTAATAAGCATTAAACAGGGTTCTCTGTGATCAGCCTCAGTCAGGATTACAGCCCACACCAGATCTTGCATGCTGATAGAGGGTGAGGTATATGTCTTGCGTAATAACCGAATTTAGGTGCAAGTTCTGCACCTGGTTACTTGAGTATAGCTAATATGGATTAAGTGGGGGCTGAAAGTAAGCAACTGAATAGTATCTTTCTCTTAGTGATACTTGGTTTAGTGTGCATGGAGGGAAGAATTTTTAAGCATCTTTTTTGCTTTCTAATTGTATTTGTTATTGTTATATTCAGTTCTTTTGGGAGCATAAATTAGGCATGCACAAACTGTTCGAGCTTTGTATGGATAAAAGTCTTCTGGTTTAAGTTTTGGTTATCTGAGATACTGATCTTAATCTCTAATTAGGTTGGTAGTGTAAGAAAAATACGACCAGCAGCTACTGTTTGTATGTGAGGGTACTGAACTAAATAGGTGTTCAGGATCTACAGCGAGCGTAGGCTTTGTGGTAGAGAAGATGGACAACCACATGCCTGTGTCTTAAAACTACATCTTCAATTTATTTTTTTTTTAACCAGCTAGAGTGATTTGGTAAACTGTGTGGTAAAGGGGTTGAACTTGCTGGATGCTAAGCGGTGTGTAAGTCTTGATGAGTTCAGTGGGGGCTGAATCACAGGCTTATGTGGTCCGTCTTTATAGTCTACCTCTTAATCTAATTTGCAGTAGATGAAAAGCATCAGTTTAACTTTTGCCTCCTATTCACAGTTTATAAACTTTCAGCCATGATTGACAGGTAATCAAAGGCAAAATTTAGGGTAAACATTTAGTTTTGTCCTTACTGTTACCTCTATTCTGTGTGCTAATTTGTGACTCATTAATATAGGGTATGGCTCCTGTTGATACAGGATATCTGTAAAACAGAGCTTAGCAAGGTTTCACATGAATAAGAAAAGAAAAAACTCCAGTGCTTCCAGGCAATAAAACTTACAGCTTTATTATTCTTGGTTGTCAGTTCCAGTTTTGTTGTGCCTTCTCTTGGAGCGCCATATACTTGCCAACATCTGGATTTGCAGAGTTGCAGATTAGATGGGCTTCTGATGGGTCTAGTATAACATTTTTTCCGAAGTCCTTTATGTATAATGTTTCTTTCCCTATATAACAATTCTAAAGTGGATTTTATTGAATGTCTTTATAGGATCTGAATTTAAAATAAAAAAAAAAGTTTTATGTAAAGGTGTTGTGGTTTTCTTTTCTTTTTTTTGATACAGTAATAATGCTGTATCAAATTAAGGAAAGATACTGGGCTTCCATAAGAAATAGCATGGAGGTGTCTTATCTTTCTAGATTATTTTAAGGTCCAAAAGCCTATATGCTTTTCCACTACCTTCCTAATTCTAATGTTTAAATTCTTTCCCTAGGAATGTTGGGTTAAGAAACAGGGCCTTTCTCTGCATAGCTTAAAAAGTTAGAACTTAACATCATCGGGTTCTTCTTTCTCATGTGAACCTCTTATGTTCAATTAATAAGGAAGGGATCATGTTCTTTGAAATATCAGTGCTGTCCGGCTAGCATTTTTGATGTGGACCAATTCTTAAGGTTCTATATCTGTATGTCCCCAACATTTAGGACTTGAGCTGCGGCAGACACTTGTGGAACTTGGAATTTTAGAAAATGTTTTGCAAAGATAAGTGCATAGTATACACACACGCACAATTTTTCAAACTTTGCTTTTTTTTTTTTTCTTTTTTAGGAGATTATCTTCACTTTGACATGATGTGTGAAGTTTGTTAGTCAGCATTTTTTGTTTGTTTTTTTTACAGTTATTGTGGAAGGTATGTATGAGAAAAGTAAATCTTGTTCTTTCTGTGTTCATTTTTATCAGAGCATGTTGCCATCAGTGTACAGAAGCCAAATATAAAGAAATGTGTGGAATTGTATCTCATTACAAGTTCATGAATACTGGTACTTTGTTAATAAATGGGATAATGTGTCTTGTCTAAAACTTCTCAAAGTAGTAGTTTCTATCTGTCTTTGCATTCTCTGTGAAGTTTTACAGGCTTTAATTCTGTCCTAAAACTTAATATATGAGTTTCAATAGGGTTCTGTTTTTCTGCTGAACATTACAGGCATTTTAGTATTGCTGCTTTGTAATTTTTCTACTCAGCTACTAGCTTGAAGGTGTATCATGCTGCATGATGAAGACTTTGTTGTCACCCTTTCTTGTTAAGTTTTTTTTCCTTGTTATGGAAGAACCAAGCAAAGGGCTATATTAGGCACACAGAAATGTTAAACAGACACTTTGTAGTCAGATGAGAAAGTAATAGCTGCTATTACTGTAACATATAAAAAACTTTAACTTCAAGACATAAATATGGGCTCCTTAATTAGAATTTTAAAATCTACTTATCATAGGTAGAAAAGAAATGGTACAATGTGTACTTACACTCTGAATAACTTCATATGTAACCTCTTATCTAAGAAGTTCTAGATATTCTATCATCCATTATTTCCATCCTGCTGAGGGATCTTAAAGCAAGGGATTTGTACAAGCCTAATGTAGACAAGTTCAGTACAATATTAAGCAACTACAGAATGTGCACAATATCTGCATGATCTCTACACACAGTGTATATGTGCTATATGCTTTGAAGCAGTTCGTGGTGAGGACGGAAGAGCTAGGGATGCGAGCATCTGATGTAGAGATGTCAAATTGATCAGGCTACTGCAATTCCTTCCTGTCTCCAGCTGCCTCTCCCCCTCCTACCTGCAGCATGTAACTGGTCGAAGGCTGGAGTGGCTTCCATTTCTGGTATACCTTACCACTGTTCATAGAATCATAGAATCATTTAGGTTGGAAAAGACCTTTAAGATCATCAAGTCCAACCATGCCCACTAAACCATGTCCTGAAGTGCCTTGTCTACATGCTTTTTGAATACTTCCAGGGATGGTGACTCAACCACTTCCCTGGGCAACCTGTTCCAATACCTGACAATGTGCTGTGCGGTAGCCTGACAAGGAATGAGATTTCCTCCTTCTAGCTCCTTTGGAACTCTTTTATGCCCAGCTTCCATTTTTGCTGCATGTTGTGCGAACACATGAGCAATTTGTAGGCTGTATATAATGTAACTTAATATAATGGCTTGTAGGCTATTAGTCATAATAAAATGAAGGCAAAGTTGGTAGAGTGTAATATGTAGTATGTATTAGACCAATTCATAAAAAAAATGGAAAAACACTTATAAGCTTTCAAGCATGAAAACCTTTCTGTTAGCTTAACTCAAGTTTAAGATAATATCCCTATTTATTCTCTTTTTGAGAACAAATGTTTTCTCCTTTATTCCATATCAAATAAGAACTGCAATTCCTTGCTGAGTCTTTCATAACTTTGCCCCTCCTTACTTACAGACTTCTACTTTCTTTTGTCAATGCCACCATTTTATCAGAAAAGCAGAATAATTATCCTGAACTGATGCCCACACATGGAATACATCAGCATAGATCTAGTGGTATAATTATACTTCAGGAACTCTGCCTGTTGATTTTTCTTTGGAAAGAAGCCCCTTGAGAAATGAAGCAAGAAGTGTCAAGATCTGAACATGGCAGAGGCTGTATTGCAAAGGAGATGCATGAGTCAAAGGCAGGAAATGGTGTAGTGATCGCAAATGCACTTGTGCATATCTAGGCATTTAAATCATTAATCTGAGGAATAGGCTAGTCTGGAAAAAAAACATGTAGCCACTGAAGACATTGTGGCACTGTCTCTTTCATAAATAATTTGTAAATAATTAAAAGACAGTACATGTTTGTATGTTGACATGTGTGGGAAAGACAAAGTATAATTTAAATTTACTGAACTGTATTAGCAAAGCATATCACCTCTATTTAATGGGAGAGTCAGGAGTTGCTCCGTAAAGGTGAATTAGATTTCAGTTCCTTGAGGAGTTCTCTCAAATATAGTGAGTGTTTGAGTTTATGATGATAAATAGCAAGATATGTTATGTAATCTGTAGCGAATTAACTCTTAATTCCTACATAAATGAGTTAGTGTTAATCATAGAACTACCATATACATATCTTACTGAGGTTCATTAGAGTATGTAAAAAATTTTAATACAAGTAGACCGATGAATGAGACATCAGTCTCTGTCACTTGTATTTGAAGCTTTTTAATAATAAAATTGAAGGTTTTCCTAAATTTAGGTCTTCTAATGGGCAGTCGTAAAGCTGTATCACAAATCTGAATCCCCTTCTAGTAGCACTAGTGGATATAAGACCATGTAGGTCTGGTATGCTCATGATTAGCACTTGTTTGCAGTAGGTCCAGTGGATCTTGTAATTTTTTTGAGTTAAAACACAAGAAACATTTTTAAAAAGCTTGTTTGCCTTGCTTTCTTATTTTTTGGAAAGTACTTTAGTGAGCTTTTAACATAACTTTAGTGTTTTCAGTAATGTTAATACTTATTTTTAGTGCAAGTTGTGCAAAGTCGAGCCCTCTAAAAATCACAATGTACCACTTTTTTGGCCAACCCAAACAATATCAGTTCTGTTCTCTTGTGTTTGCTCTGTGGATTGAATAAAGCAGAAGTACTCTGCCTACTGAAGGAAAAGGAAAAATGGTTGGTCATGATCTATTTACACACTGCTGTAGTACTCATCTCCTGCATAAATGTTAATGTTTTAACTGCAGATAGTCTCCTTCCTAATATTAATTTTTGCAGCTCAAGCCATATCTTCAGAATTTTCTGTTGAGCGGTGTACTCTACTCTTCCAGTATGTAAAAGCAGTTGGCTATAAGTATTAAACCCAGCAGTGCTTTTCTGATAATTCACTAGAATTGCTTAAATTGACACCTTTCTATTATTACCTTGAACAAAGACTTCTAGGAGCTGTGAGGTGTGTATAGGAAAAGGAAATTAGGTTTGTATGTGTCAAAATCTGAACTTGTTTATGCTGTAATTTCTGGCAAGTCTGCATGACTTTTGTACTAGATGGCAAGCTTAAAGCTAGCTTACTGCTGTAGTTTTGATTTCTCAGAATATGAAGTGTTCTGAATTTATTATTCTGATGCGTAACATACCAGGCCACAGTCAAAATCATTATCAATGTTTTGCGTTTTTTGCAATAGGCAAAGCTTTCTGTTGCGTATATTGTATGCTTACTCTTAGTTTGACAGGTTTTCACTAGAATTGGTGCATGCCTGTATTTCATAAATTACCAAATAGTTATACAAATCTTTAGAGTTCAAGTGCATGTGTAATCTGATTTTGAAAGTTCACAATCACTTTATGCATTAAGGGATCATGATTTACCCAAATGTGTTGCTATGTCTTTGGAAATGTTTGTTGAATGCTTAAGTTTAAACATGTTTCTGACGACCTTTAGTAGAATTGTATTTGACGCAACACATCAAACTAATTTATGCTGTTGGCTTAGAGTATCTGAATTTACCAAAACGTAGTGGTTTGAAATTTTGCAGAATTCGTAGCATAGAAATTCCAAAAAGGTATTGTATGTTTTACCTACTTTTGCTTACTTAGTGGTAGAAAATTTGATAAATTCTTGAAAAGTCAATATTTACTTTCTAATTGCCCCAATGTATCGGAAAATCTCATGCCAGATCTGGCAAAGATCTGCTTTTTAACAGACAAGCACGTGTTCCCTGGCATATTGGGTCTGCTTCATATACATGAAACACTTGTCCCCACTGTTTGGTTTGGTTTTGGGCTGCTTTTTTTTTTTTTGTCACTGTTTGTAATCTTTTGGGTTTTATGTCTTTATCAATCTTGAATAGGTTACAAATGGTGTGGGTTTTTATCATGAACCGAATGAGCTCCCAGAGCAGTTCATCCACTCAGCGTAGGCGAATGGCTCTAGGAATTGTCATTCTTCTCCTCGTTGACGTGATATGGGTTGCCTCTTCAGAACTCACTTCTGTAAGTATTGTTCCATGCATCTTAAAAGGAAAATAAAAGCCTATGTAAGAGAAAGATGCAGCAGAAACATAGTCACTCAAACACTCGATGAGTGTTCTAGTATAATGTTTAACCACCTTTTCAGTACGGGGAAGATGATACCCTTTGGGTTAGTGAACTAACCTGTATCCACAAAAAGTTACAAACAAGCTCTACTCGGTGACTCTTGCTTTCAAGACAGAAGGTATTACAGATGACTTTCAAATTAAACAACAAAAGCTCATAACTATGTACTGTAATTAGGGAGTTCATTTTGTTTATTGCCATATTGATTAAAATAATGCCCATATATTTCCCAAGAAGCAGTAAATGAGCTGTAACATTGCAGGCTAGGTGGTAGGATAGATTTTATAGCTCAGAACATCTAGAAGTCTGGGATCAAAGGACTCGGGTCATGGAGTTTAAGCCCTATAATTGCAGACAAGTTTGTCATAATCTAGTTCATATATTCACCATCTTGAAACTGATCTGGTATTTACTTTATCTTAAGTTTTAGGATTTAGAGCAGAGCTTTAGCAATGGAAATAGAGTTTTTAATAAATTCTTGTCAAATTCACGTTTCTGAACTGTCATTAAGTTATTATGTTCTATATCAGTTTCAAAACTAAGCATATAAAAATGTTTGTGCTTAACATGCTATTATATTAATAAAACGTTTTTTCCAGTGAGCTGGTGGGATCACTATTGATACTGGAATGTTACTTAAACAAAGTAATCTTCTCTAATTTGTGATAACTCTGCTATTGCTTATAAAATGGGTCTTTCATTTAGGAAATATTTGTATATAAATGTATTTTCAGTCCTACTTGAGGTCAGTGGCTGTATTGGTTTTATGTGGCAAGGTTTTGGTAGCGGGGGGGGTTACAGGGGTGGCTCCTGTAAGAAGCTGCTGGAAGCTTCCCCTGTGTTCGAGAGAGAGCGAGCCTATACCAGCCGGCTCTAAGACGGACCCGCCGCTGGCCAAGGCCAAGCCAATCAGTGATAGCGGTAACGCCTCTGTGATAACATTTTTAAGAAGGAAAAAAAAGTTGGGACGGGGAGAAAATAGCCACCGGAGAGAGGAGTGAGAACATGTAAGAGAAACAAGCCTGCGGACACCAAGGTCAGTGAAGAAGGAGGGGGAGGAGATGCTCCAGGCGCCGGAGCGAAGATTCCCCTGCAGCGCGTGGTGAAGACCCTGGTGAGGCAGGCTGTCCCCCTGCAGTCCAGGGAGGTCCACAGTGGAGCAGATATCCACCTGCAGCCAGTGGAGGACTCCACGCCGGAGCAGGTGGGTTCCCGAAGGAGGCTGTGACCCCATGGGAACCCTGCGCTGGAGCAGGTTCCTGGCAGGACCTGTGGATCTGTGGAGAGAGGACCCCACGGAGCAGGGTTTCTGGCAGGACTTGTGACCCCGTGGGGGACCCACGCTGGAGCAGTGTGCTCCTGAAGGACTGCACACCGTGGAAAGGACCCATGCTGGAGCAGTTCGTGAAGAACTGCAGCCCGTGGGAATGGCCCACGTTGGAGAAAGTTCATGAAGGACTGTCTCCCGTGGGTGGGAACCCACGCTGGAGCAGGGGAAGAGTGTGATAAGCCCTCACCCTGAGGAGGTGAAGCGGCAGAAAATAATGTGTGATGACCGTAAACCCCATCCCTGTCCCCCTTGTGCCGCTGGGGGGGCTTGGTGGAGAAATCTGAGAGTGAAGTTGTGCCCGGGAAGAAGGGAGGGGTGGAGGGAAGGTGTTCTGAGATTTCGTTTTATTTCTCATTTACCTTACTCTGGCTGATTTGTAATAAATTGAGCTAATTTTCCCTAAGCTGAGTCTGTTTCGCCCGTGATGGTAATTAGTGAATGATCTCTCCTGTCCTTATCTCGACCCGCAAGTTTTTTGTTATATTTTTCTCTCCCCTGTCCAGCTGAGGATGGGGGAGTGATAGAACGGCTTTGGTGGGCACCTGGCGTCCAGCCAGGGTCAACCCATCACGGTGGCATATCATTAAGTTGCTTGGTTAGATAGAAGTAATAAGTAGCTTTTCTCCGGTGCCATTGTATCTTACAAAATGGCTCAGTGCCTTCTTGTCGGCATTTAGGATAGCTTAGGAGAGGGTACCCCCAGAATAGGTATGGCCACTTGTGTCTTTTGGTCATACATGCCAATACTTACAGCACTGTCATTTTGTGAACCTGACTGTTCTGGACTATATACTTAAACCTGTTCATTCTTTTTGTGAATTCTCACCTAATTGGTAATTTTGGATACTGCAATTATTTTCTTTCCACAGTATGTTTTTACGAAGTACAACAAACCTTTTTTCAGTACGTTTGCAAAAACATCCATGTTTGTTCTGTACCTCTTGGGATTTATTGTTTGGAAACCATGGAGGCAACAGTGTACTCGTGGGTTTCGTGGAAGGCATGCAACTTTTGTAAGTATTTTAACTCTGTAAATGTTTTGGTATTTGTGGAAGTTTGTATAGAAAAACTTAAAATAGGACTAGAGAAAAGCAAAGTTTACATGTTTGTGAAGTAGTGCTTTCAGAAAAGCAAGTATAAACTAATTCATGGCACAGGAAGACGTGGCAATCATAATAGTGGCCTTGTGAGAGGAAGAAAAGAAAGGAAAAATCAATATGAAATGTATCAGGAATCATAAGAAATGCTCTAATGAGCCAGACCATTGGCACATCTCGCCTGGTATTTTATCTTGGAGAGTTGCAGAGGATAATTCTTTCTAAGAAGAGCTTATGAGCCTCACCACAGTTGGCTGTTAGTTCCCTGTAACCAATGGAATCAGTTGGAATCAGTATTGTAGTTGATTTTTATTACTGGCTCTTTTTGTCTCTGGTAGAACTGTGAGCTGTTTGCTAAGAGGTTTTGAGATTTTTGAAGTTACATTTAGGAAAGATGGTAGAATTATGTTTTTGTTGTTGTTAATATTGTATTCTTACAGCCTTTATGCATGAGTGACCTTCTGTTGCCCATTCTAGAACTAGGCATAGTTTGTGCTAGAGTCTAAAATTATTGTCATATTACAGAAATATGTACTTTTTTCCAAGGAAATTTAGAGATGCTGGGAAGAGCGCTTGTTCTGTGCCAGTGTTTCAGAATGCTGAACAGCAGGACTCAGGAAGCAGTAAGGCATGTGGCCTGATATTAATCTCACATTAAAATAACAGAAAATGTGATCCAAGAACATGCTGTTAATCAACATGTCTTTATAGAAAATAGCTTGTATGAAAGGAACTGACTTCAGTTCTTCTGGATATATTAGACTTCACTGATAGCGACAGTTGTAGGCGTAACATACTGGAATTGAAGTGTTACATGACATTAAGCCAAATTATTTTTATTTTAAAAAAAACCAAAACACCACAAAAAAGCCCCCAAAAGCCAAAACCCAAACAACTAAACCTTTTGTTTAAAAAAAAAAAAAAAATTGTGTTAAACACATAAAACATGTAGATTTGGCTGATATCTTGAAATAATTTTCGCTAGATCAGCCTTTAATACCAAGTGTCTGGGCATAGTATGGCACATGTTAGACTTGATGCCATTCAGGATCTTCATAAGATAATTGGGAAATAAACAGAATTTACAGATTCTTTACTGGCAGTAATGACAAATAAAGATGATGAAAGCACTAAAGGATGATTAGCTGTATAGAGCAATTGTACTGAACAGATGTATTAATCTCAGCAGATGAGTAGAATAAGGGGCTATTACTTAGTGGGAATTGTGGTGGTTATATTGACCAACTGAATCTTGTGCAGTGCTATGTCAAAGAAAGAGATAATATGAACTGGACAGCAAAGAGTAAGACTGCTCAGTCTGTCACATTTTGTGTGTGGCACTCTGGCACCACTACTGGAATCTCATTATTTTTTCTTTTTAACCCTATAAAAAGTAATTTTTACAGTAATTTGTAGGAAATAGCCATTACTTTTGATATTAGCATGTGTCTTGGTTTAACCCCAGCTGGCAGGTAAGCGGCACACAGCCACTTGCTCAGTCCCTACACAGTGGGATGGGGGAGAGAATCGGAAGAGTAAAAATGAGAAAAATCATGGGTTGAGATAAAGACAGTTGAATAGGTAAAGCAAAAGCTGCAAATGCAAGCAAAACAAACCAAGGAATTCATTCAGCACTTCCCATGGGCAGGCAGGTGTTCAGCCATCTCTAGGACAGCAGGGCTCTGTCACGCCTGACGGTGACTTGGGAAGACAAACGCCATCACTCTGACCGTCCCCCCTTCCTCCTTCCCCCAGCTTTATATGCTGAGCATGACGTCCTACGGTCTGGGATATCCCTTGGGTCAGTTGGGGTCAGCTGTCCCGGCTGTGTCCCCTCCCAACTTCTTGTGCCCCCCCCAGCCTCCTCACTGGTGGAGTGGGGTGAGAAGCAGAAAAGTCCTTGGGTCTGTGTAAGCACTGCTCAGCAATAGCTAAAACGTCCCTGAATTATCAACACTGTTTCCAGCACAAATCCAAAACATAGCCCCATGCTAGCTACTATGAAGAAATTAACTCCATCCCAGCCAAAACCAGCACAGCATATTTCAAAAGAACAGCGCAGAGACAGGACTGTAGTGTACAGTTAGAAGATACCCCCCCCCCCAGGAGTTTAGTTAAATATTCAACTGTATATTATTACAAATGTCTTTAAAATGTCTTGTGTTTATTAATCTGGAATAAAAATTATACATCTATAGATTTTTATTTCGATAATGATTGCTTAGGTGAACACTCATACCTTACTTTTAGGCCCGCTTCCACGTTAGAAGCTTTGGTTAATAGACTTCTTACCAGCATGGTAGAACAGCAAGCTCCAGGTCAGGGAGCAGGGGTAGTGGTGCTTGCTGAGATGCAGAAAGAAAGAGGAAAAATGATACTTGACCTCATCCTAATTTAAGCCTTGTTAAAACTAAGGCATGAGTTCCAGGTTTTTATGCAAAGGAACTTTGCCTCAGTAAAATGAAGAAACGAGGTTTGTTGTTAATACATGCACGATAATTTAGTGAAGCCTGAACTTCACAGGTTTTGGCATTCTAACAGCCTGATCCTGCATTGGTATCTGGGTAGTTGAGTTCAGTGGGGTTCTCCAAGAGGTACAAAGAATTACTGAAATTATTTACTGAACTTGTAAGCCCTCTTGTTTATTGGGGAGAAGGGCTGGAGGGAGGGAGGGAATTGTGATAGAATTATGGAAAAAGGCATTAAAAAACTTATTCTAAATAAATTTCAGTTATTAATAACTCTGCCTTGATAGATTATTACATTTAAGGTTCTGTAATTAGTTTGCAGATGCTGAAGGTTATTTTGCTCCTTGTACAACAGATAACACTGTAAACAGTTCTCTGGTAAGTGCCTTAATTTGTGAAGGTCAATACTTTACAGTAACGTGACACCATTATCCTGACTTACTGTTTTTAAAATATGGTGGTCTTAAATGCAATAGTTTTTCCAAAAGGGATTAGTAACTTGTATGTTGCTAATAAGTGCTGCAAATAATGACATTGCTTATTATGAAAAATACAGGTTCTCAGCTCAATAAAAAACTTGAAAGTTTCTGTAGTAGTTTGTGAAATAAATATTTATGTCGTACAAAGGAAACCTTTACATATTCAGCTCAGTAATTGCCAAAGCAAAATGTGGAGAGCTAGTGGTAAAGCCAAACAGTTTTCAAGACTCAAATCCACAATGGAATCATTCAGTTAGTTGAGTATCTTGTGTACTGTGATCCTGCATTGCATTTTGACAGAGAAATGGACTGCCTTCTTCCTTCCAGTGGGTGGAGTAACTACTGTTTACTGAATCAAATATCAGTACTGGTATTCTGCTGATAAGCTGCATTTCAGATGGCTTTTTTTTAGTGATTTTCATAATCCATAAATGACAGTTTGTTTTGCCCCTGTTGATCACAGATTGCTGCTTAATCTGCATACTTAAATCAGAGGTCACACAGAAATGTATCCAAAACACAAAACTTTGAAGGTTTGCACCATCTCTGTAATAGAGTAGGGGGAGGCAGCTGATTGTTGATGAAGTACCATATGGGTATTTTATACTGAATAGGGAGTTGAAGAGAGATTTTTCAGAAGTAGTCTTCATTTCATTCTTTGGGGTTTTTCCAACTTTATTTATCTACATTTAAGAATAAATCTTAGTCTGCTCAATTCATTAAGGTCATCTGACTCTAGAATCAGGATTCATCGTTAAACTTGGACAATTTTGCACTGATTTAAACATCCACAAAAATTCTGGTCCTAAACAAGGAGCCTAATGAAAATGCAGCTACCAGATCTTTTTCATTACTTCACTCTTACAGTTTATTAATTTAATTTAAACAAGCAGCTGAAAACTTGTCTTGTTAGAAGTATTTTAAGCAATTAAAACTTCTGCTAAGTGCTTTATGTATGTATTGGAGTTCCTTTCCCAAAGTTTTTTGACTTTTAGTTCTAGTTCACAAGCTTTTAGGGTCATGAGAGGAAAATGAGTATGTATTCATTTTTGTATATATATTCTGTATTTTATGTTTCTAGTTTTTCATTTGGACAGAAGCTATAGATCTAATGAAATGTCTGTGATTTTGATAAGTTTTTTTTAATTCTGGATCAGTAGGTTTGAATTTTCTGGGGATGAGTTTTGTGTTCATGAGGATATACACAAAAGCGCACAGTTATTTTTGAGTACTGCATTTTACCAATATGTTTAACATAAAATATAGATTATGTATGAGCATTTTTGACAAGCCTATCCACTGTGTGCAAAACCACTTTGATTCTTTTAATATTCACCAAGCTTTTCTTTAATTAGTTTTGTAATTTGCTAAATTAATTCTACTGCTTATAATTTAAATATCCTGTTTAACTGTATTTTTACTTATACTGATTCATTTCAGAGTGAACCTTTATATGTTCCTGTAAAGTTTCACGATTTGCCAACTGAAAAAAATGGCAGTAATAATAGTGATGCAGAGAAAAGTGAGTAAAGACTTTTGGAATGCTGAAATACTAGTTCTTTCGTGAAGGAATTACTTTCCTCTTTGTTGGTATAACTGCTGTCATGTTGCAGGACTTGCCTTTTATCCCCGCCCCCTCCTTTTTTTTTTCTTTTTTCCTTCTTTAAATCTCTTATTGCATGAATTGCAGTTTCATGTATTTACTTTCAAGTGGAGAAAACATAGGCCTATCGTTCAGTTTACCTTTCTTGGTCACTACAGATCCAGCCTATGTTTATCTCAAGGGACCAACTGGGTTCAGTACTTGTGATTCTTTCCTTCTGGGCTTGTATGACCAGCAGCAGTGAGTCAGCCTCTGGAAAAACAAGCTATTGTCCTTTTTAGAGCAGGAGCAAAGCAGTCAAAGTAAGAATTTTAACAGTCTATGTGCATTCTGATTTTATTTAAGCCTCACTATCTTGTGATAGTAGCTGAAACAGGCCTAGCTGTCCCAGACAATTATAGAAAAGTTGACTGTCAAAGAATCCAATTATCTGATCCTCAGCAAAAGAATCCCTGCTTATAAAAGGGAAAGTCTCTGCTAATTTCTAGCTGACACATGTTAAGAACCACTTTGGTAGGCTCTGCTGTACTGTGATAACATGCACCAATCCCTTCAGGGTTGTTTGAGCTGTAGCTTTTCCCTTCACTTTTTTTAGGAACTTAGGTATTGTTTCATATTGACTTAGACTCATAAATAAAATAATAATTAAAAAAAAAATCTGATCCTGGTTTGTGAGATTAGTTAGAGGGTGGATTTCAAATGAGCAAGTGACCTTATGATCTCTGCTAAGCTTTGAGGTCTGTTGGACACTCATCCTCCGAATGAAACGCTGTCCTTGCAGTTAGGTATAGTTGTGTGCAGTTTTTGGCGGTTTGACTATTAAACAATTAAATAAAATCTTACATGTAATATTTATCAATACAGACTAATTCCTGCCTAAAAATTTGTTGTTGCCTTGTGTGGATTTTTTTGTCATGGAAGGGGGATGATGCTTTTCAGTGAGGTTTTTGTGGGTAGACAACTGTACTGCTTGAAAACAGTAATTGTGCTTTGTCTTGTTAGTGGCCTATGAAATAACAAAATACTAGTTTAATAAATAAAAATAATGGCATGTCTTCTATTTGTATAAAAACCTGTTATTTGTGAAGTATTATAATCAATGCTGTATTAGAACAGCATAATCATCATAGTTTTATTTGCATATTGTGTTGGTTTGAAAAGTTTCATGATAAAATGCAGCTTTTTTTTTCTTTCTTTCTTTCTTTTCTTCTCTCTTCTTCTTAAGCTCCCAAAAAGCCTCGTGTAAGGTTCAGTAATATTATGGAGATTCGACAACTCCCATCGAGCCATGCATTGGAAGCAAAGTTGTCTCGCATGTCATATCCAACGGTTAAGGAGCAGGAATCAATATTAAAAACTGTAGGAAAACTCACTGCAACTCAAGTAGCAAAAATTAGCTTTTTCTTTTGCTTTGTGGTATGTTCTCCATTCTTTCAGAAAACTTAAGTATAGATGCAATTAAAACTTGTATAATAGTAGTGAAACAGTATCGAGATGACTTGTATTCTTTATGCCTCATTTTATAAATATACTATAAGAAGTAAAACTTTCCTCATGCTGGATGTGAAGATGCAACTTTTTAAAGGGAGGGTAATAAAAAGAGATCCTGGGTGTGTAGTTAACTGTGAGGTCAGTTGTAAGATATGCCATGCTTCTGTGCCATGTTGTCCAGTGTTGGGTATGTTTGGTACAGCAAAATCTGGGATCGGATGTATACAGGCTGTTAATAGCTGCAGTGAGACGGCATGAAATGGGTAAATATCACTATGACTTCTTTCTGGGCTACCACAGAGTGCCATCTTATGCCTCACCGTGGCATTGTGCCCTCCAGTAGTATGGAGAGGAGATAGTTGATTGTCCTTCAGCTCCATTGAGGGCTGCAAGATTTACTTATTAATTTGTTGATTGCTGGTGTTTCTGCATCATGCCTCTGTTCTACGGGGAGAGAGATGTAACGGTAGCATGATTTTTGAGAGACAGTAAAAATGTAGAGAGCAGGTCAGTGATATCTTTTCCAGAAGTAGCTTCACTGATACTGCCGAATATGTTATATGTAATGTGGACACAGCACAGCTTTTCCTCGGGAAGTAGTGCTCTTTAAACATTTAAAATAATAATAATAATAATAATAATAATAAGTATTAGTATTGTTGATGCATGGGCCAGAAAACAGTGATGTAATTTTCTGTGGGTATACATAAAGAACGTGCACACAGCAGCAAGAGAATGATAAGGCACTCATTAGTGATTTTTGGACAGATGAAATAGCTTTTTTAAAAATTATTTAAAATTCTGTGTGTCTGAGTATTTATATATACCCATGCGGATTTTTAGGCTAGACTCCTGATGTTCAAAACAAGTCCTGTTTATGCTTTTCATGGATGCTGCTACTGCTGGCATATATATGTATTTCTTCTTGGACTGTATAAATACTTCCACCTAAGAGTTTAGAGAGTGGTAACTTCCCTGAGGATATATCTGAGATCTTATTAATGAGATCTCAATCAAGAAATGATAAAACACTTGCCATTTGATTCCTTTATGGAGGAATTAACAGACATGAATCCTTCCAGAATATTTTTGAGGTATCGAATGTAAGTGATGCTTGTTTTTTAGGGTGGAGATGTGTGCCAGTTTTAAGTACTCTAAAAAAAACTCATTAGGCTGACTAATGTCCCACGTATCTCTATCTCTGAAATTTCTTTGCAGCCCTTGTGCAGTTAGGGTCTTGAAGCACTTGCAAAACAAGTTAAAAGTACCTTTAGTTACTATAGAATAGCTATTATAATGTCGTTTTAATTATTTAATTAATTGTAAGTTCTGAAGTGTTATTTCATTATTAAACACGTAGTTGAATGTGGTTGGTTTGGGCCAATTCTAATTTTGCCTGTCTTTTAATGTATCTGCCACTTTAATAGAAGTTAGGAATATATTTGAGTTAAAAGTCTTCTGATTTTGGTTTTGGATAAATAGTTGTGGGTTTTCTTTTCCTTTAAGTAGGATTTTATTGCACTGAGAAACTTAAACTCTGTCATTGCTATCCATGTGATCACAAAATTATTTTTCTTTTCCCCCAGTGGTTCTTGGCAAATTTCTCTTACCAAGAAGCTCTGTCAGATACCCAAGTTGCTATAGTTAATATTTTGTCATCAACCTCTGGTAAGTTTTATTTACAGCACCAGGTGTGCATTATAAGGCTGTCTATAACATAAAAAACTTTTTTTGTTACAATGGACTGGTGTAATGATTTACCTGTGGTTTGGGGGGAATAGTAGGGCTTAAAGCCACTGAATATATGCATTTAAAAATTTCATTATGTATTTGCAGGGGTTTAGGCTATCTTCATGCTTCCCCTGCTTTTTGCTTTTCAAGTTTGTGTGTGTGTACTTCTGCGGTTATGTCTGTGTATTAAAGAGATATATTGGGAGCGTAGTGCTTTTGAAGGAAAGGTGGTATAACTTTTTATCAAAATAGATACAATTCAGAGTAAAGTCTTCTTGCTAAGTACCATTTTTTTAAAAAATGCTTTTAGGGGTAAAGAACTTAAACCACCTAAATATTATGCATAGCACTTGCTTTACAGGTTTTATGCAAGGCTGTAATATGAGCTTTAAAGTATATAAATTATGTGACAGTCCATGTTTTGAGGAATAACTTTTGTTGTTCTATAAAATCAGTTTTAAAAGCACAATTACATGATTTTTCACTGACTTTTCAGGCTTATTGCAGTTTATTTTGTTAGTATGGCTAGCCTTTCTCGAAGTTGAACATGTATTTGCTGATCTGAGGATTTACCTCTCAAGGTGATAGTTTCATAATAGTTCTGATTAATATTAGGGATGCTAAGATCAAGTAGTTAAAACAAGTATGTGAAATATAAAGAAGGAAATGTCTGTGCAGTTTTCTGAACAAACTAGTGGCAAAACTTGATTGTATAAACTCTTCTTAATTTCTCTTGCAGGGCTTTTTACTTTAATCTTAGCTGCAGTCTTTCCCAGTAACAGTGGAGATAGGTTTACCCTGTCGAAATTATTAGCTGTTATTTTAAGGTAAGGTAATGGGATGGAACATTTGTTCAAAAACTCCCTGATACAGTGAGAGGACAACTATACCTACTATACCTATGGTATCTGTGACAATATATGATAGGCTTCACTTTTTCAAAAATCCTTGTTTCACAGATAAATTGAGCAAGTGAATTAAGTCTTTTAAAATACTTCATATCATGAACAATTGCCTAATCTCATGCTCCTGTAGGAAATTAGATTAATCAGGTTTCTGTTGGAAATATGTGAACTTATTTTCTTGTTATTTACTTACGGTTTATTTATTTTTGTGTAGATGGGAAAAAGGAAGACTTGACATGCAGTGTTGTTGGCCTGTTTCATTAAATGCCTTGTGCATTGTTCAGGGAAGTTAAAAGTGGGGTTTGTTTGTTTGTTTTTAGCTTAGGATCAGGCCTTAGCAATAGAGAACTCCTTTTGGCTTTTCCAAAAGTGGGTTTTGATTAACTAAAGATACCTAAAGATAGAACTGTATTTTTGTATTTTTCTCCCCCTTTTTTTCTGCCTTTGTAAAAACATTCTTGGGTTCAAGTAGTGTTTTGCATTTCTTCTTTTTTTGCTAGCATTGGTGGTGTGGTACTTGTTAACCTTTCTGGATCTGAGAAATCTGCTGGAAAAGATACAATAGGTATTTACTTGTTTTTTTTTAATTCTAGAATATGCAATGATGAGTATTATCTTTTGGTCTTTTGACAATACTCAGTAGGTCATCTAGCACGCTATATATTTCTTACTCATGTAACATTTCACAATCTGGCTTTTTAGTTTCAACTTCTGAAACTGGACATTTATGATGCTTTTTTTCCCCCAGGTATATAGCTTAATTGGTAAACTATTTACATTCTGGAGCTTTTTGCATTTTCATACAGTAATGGATTCTGTAATAAACAATTTACCTCTGACAGTTTTATAATAGGTGTATGTTTATGAGAGTTGATCCTAGTGTGCATGACACGTTTGGCATGTCTTAAGTGAGTGGTTTTTTTTCATCTTTACAGGTTCCCTTTGGTCTCTTGTAGGAGCAATGCTGTATGCTGTGTACATAGTGATGATAAAAAGGAAAGTAGATAGAGAAGATAAACTTGACATACCAATGTTCTTTGGTAAGACTAAAAATAACTCTATTGAAAGTTTTAATTCAGTGTGTGATTAAATTGTTTTCTTTCAGGCACTGAATTGTGTATGAGTGGTAAAGGGGCTCAGAAAAGCCAAGGAAGTAGAGAAAGCCTATTGTTCCCGTGGTTATGAGTACTTTAGAGACTGGTTGTGTGAATTGTTTCCTGTTTACAGTCTTAATAGTGAAAGATAACACTACCTGTTCGAATGCAGACAGCCCCTTTGACTCAATGGATTTATTTTTTTTTTTCCAAACCTGTAAATATCTGATGTAATTGTTTGTGAATTTCAGGTAGTTTCTTATATTCCTTTCCTCTGAAAGATTTAAAATATGGCTTTGTTGCTGCTTTTATCTATGTATATTGTCAAAATAGCAGAGTTTAGCTGAGATTCTAGTTATGTTGAAGGATATTTATTGTGATTTACTTAATACTGTTTTTATACTCAGGTTTTGTAGGGCTGTTTAATCTGTTGCTGCTGTGGCCAGGGTTTTTCCTGCTTCACTATACTGGGTTTGAAGCATTTGAGTTTCCCAATAAACTGATATGGATGTGCATTGTCATTAATGGCCTTATCGGAACAGTTCTGTCAGAGTTCCTCTGGCTGTGGTATGTACTACATGCTTTGTATATATTTCACATAAATTGTCTTACCCGTGTTCTCAAATGTTGAGATGTCAAATTGTCCAGGTAGGGGGTTTTGCCTTTCCCCCCCACCCTCTCCCTCCCCCGTCTACATACGCAGTTTGAGTTAGAGGAAGTTATCCATCACGTCATAATGTCCTGTTTAAAAGCAACAGGTAACTTTAAAAAGCAGGTGATGTGATCTTATAATATTCATTAAGATACCGTGTGCTTAGCTCATTCTAGAATTAACATTTTGAGATGAAAGACTTTGTGATACAGAATTGCAGTAGTAATTAACAGTTCTTCAACTTCCACGGCCTTGTGCATGTTGGATATATATGAGTCAGAATCCAGTATTCTATAGTTGACATTCGTTTAAATCTTCAGAGACTTAACGAGCTAAATCTCATCAGAACGCATTAATCATGAAGATACAGCAATTCATAAATTAGCCTAGCTTTTGTTTAGTAATTTAATTTTATTATAGTCTGGCAACAGAGGATTGAACATGCAACTTCTACGTGAATGGCTCAAAAGCTGTAGCAGACTTAAACCTTTGTGTAGCTGTTAGAAGGCCAGTGTTATTAGAGAACTGTTTGGTAAGTCAGGGTTCCCAGCTTGAGAGAATTCAGGGAGTCTGAGTTTCTTCTGGGCCAGCATTAGGTTAAAATAGGGGTGTAACAGAAAATTCTACAAGTTGAGAAGTCCTATTTTATTCTGGAAACACTGAGGAAGAGTTTCCAAAAAGAGACATGCTTCCAATGCCATACAGTTGCTCAGTGAATGATGTCAGTTTTGGTGCAATATTTTGAATAGGTGTGGCAGTTAGTGAGTTTTTGCCTGAGAACCCTTGGTGTTCAGCCTCTCAACTCTATGGTAGAGAGACTGGAAAACCTCATGGGATAGCTACTCTGAAATGGAGATGTCTGTAATCCTAGGACCTAAGTTCTGTGACAATAGTACAACAAAAGATCTAGGTGAAGTTCCATGAAAACATTTTTTGGTGTTTTTTGTTCGTTTGTTTAGTTTGGTTTGGTTTTGTTGTTGTTTGTTTTCAGACAAGTTTAAAGTTATTTCGGAAATTTAATCACGACATTTTTTGTTTATTGGCAAACTCTTAGACCAGTCCTAGTTACAAATGCATTGCAGCATATGTTCCTTTGTAATTTAATTTGTTTATTGGTGGAATAGTTTTGTGATGTTAATGCCATCTTGTAAGATGAGACTACAGTTCAGTATCAGCTGGTAAAAAGGTTAAGTGCAATTTCAGCATAGGCGAAATAATAAAAAAAAAAACCAACCCAAAACAAAACCCAGAAAACCCCCAAACTTGTCTCTTGTCCCAAAATCAGGTACTAGCATAGGGTTAAGTACAGGGTGTGCACAGACTTTTTTATACACGTGCTATTTGTGTAATTAGTCAGAATGATGATCCAGTCAATTAAAGAGCTATTTTTATTTCCAGTTCCTTTTCCCTAGATTTTTGGAGTAAGACTAATTTCAGAGTTTGTGCTGACATCATCCTTTTACCTGTCGAGCATGCCACTAGTGTGGTCCTCTACTCTTTCTTTGGAAGTAAATAATATCATTTAACCTACTTGTTTATTCCACCCAACCACATAATGCCAACTAAATAATGTAGTGGTAGATGTGACTCTTAATTTTTTTTTTTTTTTTTCCTAAACCTGCTGAAAAGTGTTCATTGGATTCTGTACCATTTACTCATTTATGGTGTGCTGGTGGACAGATTGGTTCTAATTCAGAAGTAGTCAGTGCAGAGATACAGAAGTATTCTCTTATGGTATAGAAGGGGATTTAGAATACTGGGGAGGAAGTTTGCCAAAATGCAGAGTATCTAAAATGCTTTGTTTCCTTTCTGTTCCTGTCTCATCTGCATACGTTTTTCTTTGTTTTAAAGACACGGAACAACAGAAAGTGATTACAAATATCCAAGCTGGTCATTTTTGCTTGGCTGAAAGTCAGTCTTATGGGAGGACCTAATGGCTTGGTTTGGGAGTACTCTTCTAGTTTAACTAGAGAAATAGATGCATGAAGTCACGTTCTAGAAAATGTTTTCCAAATGTGTGTTCAAATCTTTGTGTTTAAAAGGTGTTAACAAACTTCTATGAGGTGAATTAAAATAGCATTTTCTTCACTGAATCACATTTCATTAATATAGTTTCAGTGATGCTGCATCTGTTTAATTTTTACAGTAATCAGAATAAAGATTGAGTAAGTAAAAAACAAATTTCAGAATTCTTAACAAAAATTGCACCTGTAAGATTTTTCCTTCTTTAAAATTAGTTGTGTGTGGAACTGATTGCAGTTCCACAAAAAGGCATAGCTGGTACCGTTTTCAGTACTTGCCAAGGATAAGAATTGCCTTTTTCTTAATAAATAAATTCTGGGTGCCTTTGAAATAAGAGGCTGACTCAGTAGTGGGCATTACTGATTTGAATTGGGTAGATACCCCTTTTTATTTCTTTTCTTCATATGGTAGAATAGGCTATTTCATAGAGGAGTATTTGCTAACAAGCCTCACTATGCTTGGTAACTTTTGTCTTGGCTGATCATAAAATGAGAATTGCATATATTGGATGTTACGCACTTCACTTGGTATCAAAATGGCTCAGACTAGTCATGTTTTATTTATAGAGCCTTATATTTCTATTGAAATGCCAAAGATCTCAAGAGCTTATGTGTTCTCTTAGGTCTGTCCTATATATACTTTAAGGTTCTCTTATTATTACTATTTTTTAAAAAAACTTAATTCAGTGAATCAGTCATTTGCAAACTAAATATGGCTGTTAATGAGTACTACTCTGACATGCATGTAGTTTCGTTGTTCTGCCACTTATATAAATTGTAATGGCTTTCTCTGACTCAGTGATTTAGAGAAGTCTAACGACTGTGTTCCTGCTTAGGAAATATGATGAGACCACTTGTAGAACGCAGAGAAGTCTTACTGAGACTCCAAAGAATGATTTCAAGGGTGTGTTTTAGAGTGAGGTTTAAAAAGCAGAGTCTGTTAATTTAAGAATTGTCTGTTTGTAAAAAATACTTCTCTTTTTGGGTAGGATTTCTAGACATCGGTAACCTTTCTTTTTAATTAACCAGACTGGGGCAAAACACATTTAATTGCTATAACCTGGTATTAAACTATTTTAAAATGGAAACAAAATGCAGATTTTTCTAGGTGAAGTCACTACATGGGATGTAGTGAATTTTCTGTCATCTCAAAAGGTTTGTATGGGAATCAAACCCCACTCCAGCAGACATCAATAGTCTGTAAAACTGCATAAAATTCTGAAATAGATTTATGACTGATTGTGGGTATCTCAATTTTTTGTTATTAAAACAAACAATGACTAACAGTTAAGCTTGATCAAATGTCTTCTGCAGTTTGATGTATTACTTTAGTTGTCTTTTAACATCTAAATAAGCCCTCTTTATTATTATTATTAATTACTATTATTATTATTTGTTATTTTTAGGGGCTGCTTTCTTACCTCATCACTGATAGGCACACTTGCGCTAAGCCTTACAATACCTCTGTCTATAATAGCTGACATGTGCATGCAAAAGGTAATGTACTACTGAGTTTTGAGCATTATTAACAGAATTTCTTTGAATTAAATGGCAGTGTTATTTTTAACAATGTATACAATGAACAGTATTTTACTTCTGTCACTTGTCAATAATTGTTGAACTGTGTCATAATTAATCCTCTCTTGATATTGACAGTTACAGTAATTTTGCACTTGCAAGTGTGCACTTGCACACTTAAGTATATTTGATTAAGATGCAGCTTGTATGAAAAGTACCCAAAGTCATCAGCAATGCCTGGTCAAATGCTTTAGCTTGAACAGGCACTTTCCAGAATTAAAGAACAACTGCAAGTACAGCACACCTTAAATTAACATCTTTACAATTATAGAATTGTTACAGACTGCCTGTCTTGAAAATACTCAATTAGTGACAAAACCAAAAATCTGCAGGTTTACCGCAAAGGAATGTAGCAGCTACAAGGCTTAATTGTACATTATTAGATTCATGTGGACGTTAGACTTCCATTTAACTGTCTTCCTTTAAGTTAGTCTAGTTTCCCTGATAGCTGTGGAAAAACCTTGCATATAAAGAAAGAAAAGAATCTGATAATATGAGTTTAGAATAGAAACTATATGAAGCTAGTTTATATTACTCTTCAAGCTGTATAGATACTTTTCATGCTGGTGGGGTAGAATTCTCAGTTTTAAATATTTAATTATCTATGAACTTCAACTCTAACTTTGAATATTTGAATTTAATATTTAATCAGTGGCAAGGAATATCAAACTCTTAATTTCATGTGAATAATGGTTATTTAGCATATATTGCAAGCATGCAATTATTGTTTTTTGGGGTTTGGGTTGGTTTTTTTTTTTCTTTAAATCAAAGTCACATAACTGTTCCTATTTCCTGAAGGCAGGATCACTTGTTTCTGCTCTTTATTTTGGATTGAAATAATCCCTACTGCTAAAATTTTAATTTGAAGATTAAACCACCTGTTTAACTCTTTGAAATAGTTTTCAACCTGATTTTATAATGCATCTGTTGTTAAAGCAAGCTTAATTTTTCTTACAGTGATAATGCCCTTCTTTTTTGGCAGGGCATCCCCACATAGTCCACTATGGCTATGCCTTTTGACACCTCTCAGTGTAGACACAGGTGTATTTGTCACTTGGCTAAAGTATAAGCATTTCCCATCACATGCTTGTGTGCATTTTGACAATTGGTGACACTTGTATTTCATTGATGTTAAAAGTGCGTATAGTCATGTGGCATGGAGAGGCTGCAGGAGTT